CGGCGGAGGTAGGTCACTCCCAAGCGGCGCCCACAGGTGCCAGAGCGCACGCGCGCGCCGGCGTGGCCGCTCAGCTCTCTGGGAAATGGGCTCCCCGGGTGCCAGGGCGCATGGGTGGAAACCTCTTGCATGCTGGGAGTTGTAGTCCATAGGAGCCGGGCGTCCCAACTAAATCTTCACTTACTGGCGGAGCGGGTCTTCGTGTGGAGTGGATGTGCGGTCTTTAGTTTAGGGTTTCCACTTAGATGCTTTGCACACTCATCACCGGTGTCGTTGCCTCGTAGTGTGTAGTGTGTAGTGTGTAGTGTGTCCGTGTGTCGTAGCCTGCTTCACTGGCCAGGCTTCGTGCTTCGCTTAAACAAATGAAAGCCAAAAGCACGAGCGAACCCCCGCAGCGGGGCACTGCCTGGGACAGGCTTCCCGGGCCGGTTCTCTCCCGCTCCTTCCGCGGCTTGTCACACTTGGACGGTGTGTGCAATCAGGGTAGCAAGAGTGAGATCAGAACCAGAACCAGCTTCTAATCAAAGATGACGCAGAAAGTCAAAAGCCAGCTGGCTCGAGCCTTGCGTCCGCACAGCCGGCCGGCTCTCAGTTTCCTCCTTCACAGCAAAGATCCGGCTACAGGGGTTCCTGGTTCTAACGCGTGAATAAACTTAAAAAAAGAAAAGAGAAAAGAAAAGAGAAAAGAAAAGAAAAAAGCTGTCGGAGGTTAAGAGCACTGGCTGCTCTTCCAGAGGTCCTGAGTTCAATTCCTAGCAACCACATGGTGGCTCACAACCATCCGTTATGAGATCTGGTGCCCTCTGCTGGTGTGCAAGCAGACATACAGACAGAACACTATACATGACAAAAAAAAAAAAAAAAAAAAAAAAAAAAAAAAAAAAAAAAAAGCTTTCTGCTCAGATTTAGTAGAGGAATACATTTAGTTGATTTGTCCTTTTAGGGTATAACATTTTCTTTATTACTTTTTTTAATGGAGAGATATTTTCTACCACCCAGAGGCAACATCATGGTGAAGTGTTTACCGAAAAAAAATTTTTTAGGCGGCAGAGTGCCCAGGTTTGAATCTTAATAGCTTTGTAACCTTGGTATAATCACACAAGTTTTCTGTGCCTCAATTTTCTTAGCTATAAAATTGTTATTATAGTAGTGTAGTACCTGCCTTACACTATGTTAGGAAATTTAACATATTTATTTATGTTAGCACATATGAGTACATAGTTGACAGAATTCTTCATTTTGTGTTTGTGCTTTTTATACAGAGATTCACAATCTATCTATCTGTCTGTCTATCTATCTAGCTATCTATCTATATACTTTAGTGTCTTCTCTTTCGCCTTAATATGAGGGGAAAATGGATATGGAATTATATATGGGCTGTGAATACAGTCTTTAAAGAATTAGTTTATTTATTTATTTATTTATTTATTTATTTATTTATTTATCTTGGCTTTTTGAGACAGGGTTTCTCTGTGCAGCTTTGGAGCCTGTCCTGGCACTCGCTCTGGAGACCAGGCTGGCCTTGAACTCACAGAGATCTGCCTGCCTCTGCCTCCCGAGTGCTGGGATTAAAGGCGTGTGCCACCAACGCCGGCAAAGAATTATTTTATGTGTCAGTATTTGCCTGCATCTATGTTTGTGTGTTATGTATGTGTGTGCATATTGTCTGAGAGACCAGGAAAGGATGTTGGAGTTAGAGGCAGCTGTGAGCTGCCCTGTGGGTGCTGGGGACTGAACACAGGTCTTCTGCAGGAGCAGTCAGGGCACTTAACCACTGAGCCATCTCTCCAGCTTCACTAATACACGTTGTATAAACAAATTTCTAAATGATGACGGTTTCTATGGATGTGTCCATAGCTGCAGGGTAATCCATTTTGATTCTGTAACTTAATAGTTTTCACATATGACTTTTCAACATAATTCACATGGTTTATACTTACTTTGCCATTTAAGAATTCTACATCTCCTGGGTATCTTTAGACATACATTTTCTCATATTTTGGGAAATTTATAAAGTAGAATTTCAAAACTGCACAGCTTGGCAAGTGAGCATGAGCACACGGGCATGTGAAGTGAAGGTATTTTTCAGGAGTTTACACTCTCACTAGCAAGTGAGAATACCTTTGATTTACTCCACTGCTTTACATTCTTTTTAGAGGTTATTTTTAGATAAGTCTGTGGTGATATATTATTTATTAAAGCTTGCCCACCCTCTGGGCCTTTTATTTTTTCGTGCTACATAAGTCTAATGAAAAGCACATTCACCACCAAGCACATCTTATTAAGCCTCTCATGTGTAGATAGCTGTTTTATATCCCAAGAACCAGGAAGGTATAAAATATAAGTCGAACCAACCCGCTGCCTTCACAAGTGGTTAGTCTTTGTCAGCTTGACAAGACTAGAGACAGCTGGGGAGGAGGCTCCTCAGCTGAGAAACTGCCTCTCTCAAATTGTCCTGTGGGCAAGTCTGTGGGTCATTTTCTGTATTAGTGATTGATGTGGGAGGGCCCAGCCCACCCAATGGCAGGAGGTCTTTGGACTGTGTGCGAAAGCAGGTTGAGCAAGCCAGTGAGCGGTGGACCTACACTTCAGTGACTGCCTTGAGTTGTGCCTGGAGCCCCTTTGCTCTGTGATGAAAACTGAAACAAACCCTTTCCTTCCTCCGTGTGTGTGTGTGTGTGTGTGTGTGTGTCCCAGAACTCACGCTGTAGATCAGGCTGGCCTCAAACTCAGAGATCATCACTGCCAGGCTTGTTTGGTGTCTTATTACAGCAAAACAAACCAAACTAGGATACAGACCTTACATGCTATGTAAAATCAAACTATAACATTGAATTTCCTGAAGTATGGGCACATAAAACTTTACATTGTCATTTGGCTATCAATACATGTAATAGAAATTAAAAGTTTTGAGCACAAATAGACTTGTGAATTCTAGGCTATCTACTGCACTGAATTTTAAATATACTGTTGGTTTGTCCTAGAGCAGAAAGATGCCATCTACTTATTTTGTACTGTTCATTCCAGTCTAGCTTCCAGGGAGTTTCCGGTAGTTTCTGGTTGATTGAATGTCGAGGTTCGAGTGCATTTTGAGTCTCCCCAGGGTGTCTCACAGGTGTAGGTGGGCCTGGTATGTCTCTATTTTATGGGTGGCAAAACCAGATGTAGATTGTTTAAAAATTAGTTACATCACACACAGTCCAGACTTGCTCAAGGGCAGGGCGAGAGTGGGAGTGGAAACCCAGACACTTAAGACACTTATCTGTTTTGTTTTGTGCTGATTTCCAGTTCAAGACAAACATTGATCACTGTTTTGTCTTCTGCACAAAGGCAGTCACAGAAAACAGCAGCATGGCATCACAAGACCTTCAACGGTACCTGTGTGTGTGTTTTATTTATTGTTAGTGTGTGTTATTGTGTGTGTGCATGGGATGTCACAGGAGTTTTATTTGTTAGTGTGTGTTATTGTGTGTGTGTGTGCATGGGGATGCATGTGCCACAGGGTGCATGTGAGCATCAAAGGACAACTTTGTGCAGCTTGTTCTCTCCTCCCATTTCTGTGGATCCTGTCACCAGGGTTTCAAGGCAAGAGCCTTCACTGTCTGAGCCATCTCTCCAGCCCCTGCCTGTCTTTAAATTAAACAACTTGCTCTTTAACTCAGAATGAACTATTTTGGAGCTATGCTATCCAGAAAACCCAGATGAAAAGGCTAGACTTTCAGAACCAATTTCTCTAGTTCATTTCCAGGCACCCAGATGAAGGTGAATGTTCTAATTCCTCACTGTACTCACCTAAAAACAAAAACAAGGGGCTGGAGAGATGGCTCAGTGGTTAAGAGCACCGCCTGCTCTTCCAAAGGTCCTGAGTTCAATTCCCAGCAACCACATGGTGGCTCAAAACCATCTGTAGTGAAATCTGGTGCCCTCTGTGTACATAATAAATAAATAAATCTTAAAACAACAACAACAACAACAAACAAGACAAAAAAGGAAACATGCATGCCCAGGCATATGGATGTAGCAGACTTTTTCTTTTTCTTTTTCTTTTGGTTTTTAGACACAGGTTTTCTCTGTGTAGCTTTGGAGGCTATCCTGGAACTTGCTCTGGAGACCAGGCTGGCCCCAAACTCACAGAGATCTGCCTGCCTCTGCCTCCCAAGTGTTGGGATTAAAGGCGTGCACCACCAACGCCTGGCTCAGACTTTTTCTTTTAGGTCACCAACAAACTCCCAAATCATGACACAGAGACTTTTTAGTTATGGATGTGCAGCCTTAGGTTTCTTGCTAACTCTAATAACTTAACCTGTTCTCTTCATCTATGTTTTGCCTCAGGCTTTTTTTTTTTTTTAATCTTTCTTTGCTTCACTGCTTCTCGTGTCTAGCTGGCTGGTGGCGCTGGCTTCTGGCCCTGGGTGTCTCCCTCTCTCCCTTGTTCACTTCTTCTCTGAGCTTAGATTTCTCCTATTTATTCTCTTCCCACCAGCTCTGCCTATCCCTGTCAGTTTTTTATTAAACCTATCAGGTGCCCTAGGCAGGCAAAGTGAAACAAATGCAACACACACATCTTTACACAATTGAACAATTGCAGTACAAAGAAATGTAAAACATCTTTACATTGTTAACAAAGGCAGCAGAAACAAATTTAACACACCTTTACACAGTTAAAGTAATATTTCACAGCATAAACATATGTAACACATCTTTGTCCAGTGAAAATAATATTCCATAACATATGACAGTGGCTTTTTTTTCAAGACAGGATTTCTCTGTGTAGCTTTGGAGCCTGTCCTGGAACTTGCTCTGGAGACGAGGCTGGCCTCAGAGTCACAGAGATCCACCTGTCTCTGTCTCCCGAGTGCTGGGATTAAAGGTGTGTGCCAACAATGCTAGGCTGTATGACAGTGGCTTTTTGGGAATGGTGTATTATGTGGCCATTAAAGTGAGACTTTCTTTTTTCTTTCTTCTTCTTTTTTTTTGTTTTTGTTTTGATTTTTAGAGACAGGGTTTCTCTGTGGCTTTGGAGGCTGTCCTGGAGCTAGCTCTTGTAGACCAGGCTGACCTCGAACTCAGAGATCCGCCTGCCTCTGCCTCTGCCTCCCGAATGAGTGCTGGGATTGAAGACCTGCAACACCCCACCACATACATAGATCCGGAAAGCGGCCGAGGGAGGGTCTTGAGTTTCAGCACCCTGTGCCTCAGGCCTGTTTCCTGCACCTTCAGGCGTGAGAGTCTTGCCCGCCTTGGCGCTGCCACCTGCTCCCCTCTGAAGGTCACCTCGGGGAGCCTGGTTGCAGGTTTCTGGAAGATGCTGCCGACACTAGGTGGCGCCATCTCCTCACGCTACAAACAGTTTCCTTCTCGAGCTTTCTGCGCCCAGACTACAGATCACTGTCAAGACAAACAGTCACAGCCTTTGCCACCGCAGCCGAAGCCTGCCCGGGGACCATCTTCTCCCGGTCCTGGGCTCTCCGGCTTCACCCTGCACCCCAAGTCTTGCTCGCCTGGGCAGGCGCAGCTTTGCCTTGGTTGGGGTGGGCGGGTCAGCTATGCTATGCTATGCTATGTTATGCTATGCTATGCTAATGCTATGCTATGCTATGCTATGCTATGCTATGCTATGCTATGCTATGCTATGCTATGCTATGCTATGCTATCTACACCTTTGGAACATTCTTTAGCACCTGGTGCTCAGTTGCAGCCGTGATGGAGGGCGGGGCGATGAGCGAGCTTCCTTGCCCCGTGTCTTCCTAAGGCAGTGAGGGGCCTGAGCACACCCGACTCTGCGGTCTGGACACTATTGGTTGTGCTTGCTGGAGTGACCGAAGCGAGTTTTGTGGCTCAGGTTCCTTCTGTGGAGACTGGACATATCCTTGTCTGGCGGGCACAGGGAGTGACCTGGGTGTGCCTCTCGCCTCTGCACACAGTGGGCTTTCTGTCTGCTGTTTTCCCTGTGGAGGGGAGAAGAACGTAAACGGGGACCACCTCGAATGCCAGGCTACTGTGTTCTTCCTCGGCTCAGAGCTTGGAAGGGAGGGAGGGCCAAGGCCCATCAGTCCAGTTTGGGAAGGGGCCTGATTGTGGGGGTGGCCTCGGCCACGTGGGTCAGACGCAGGTGTAGACAGTTTCCAGGTAAAGGCACACTAGGTTTCAGACGAACCCGCGCCAGGACCTGTGGGCAAACAAGCAAATGCCAAAGAGCTTTCACAGTCGGTGAGATGGCTCAGTGGGTGAAGGGGCTTGCTGCCAAGCCTGACAACCGGGTTCAAGTCCCGGGTCCCATGAGGTAGAAGGTGAGAACCGACTCAAGGGTATATTCACACAGTAATAATAATAATAACAATAATAATAATAATAATAATAATAATCTTCTAAAGAGTAATAAGCTTCTAGAGATCATTTACTCGGGTGTGGCAGGGGAGGGGGCTGGGAGCTGGGGAGGGAAGGAACATATGTGTTTGGTAAACTAATGTGAGACTCGCTGAGGCTCTGCAGGGGTTAGGTGTGAAAAAGACAACTGCATCGTTTTCTTTAGTTGCAGGAAACACAGGAGTAAATGTCATCGTGGGGGCACTCTCACACGCACAGAGCAGCCGCCCTCCCAGAGGGACAGAATTAAGTCTGATTTTAAATGTCCCAGAGTAGAGAGACCCCAAGGTGGGGCTGTGCCACTTAAGCAATTGCCGGTCATGTTTGGTAGCAGAATATTCTTTAAAATTTTTTTATTAATTTATTTTTTTACATTCCAATCTCAATTCCCCCTTCCTTCTCTCCCCCTACTCCCCAGCACCTCCCATCAGTAGCAGAATATTCTTGTGTTTGTTTTTTATCTTTAAAGTAGAACTCACTTTGCGATGCCAGGGGAATGAGGCTGGAGCATGAGGCAGGGGACTGACAGAGACTGTGTAGTGCCTGCAGTGGTCACTGCTGAAACTGTGGAGGCCGGAGCCTGGGAACAGCCTAGGTAGACGATGGGAGAGTAAAGGAGTCTTTTAACTGCCCAGGGTTAAAGGCCACCAGGGTTTCTGTACGGAATGAGTTAGTGTGGCCTTGTGGCCCTGTGACCTGGAAGTAGGAAGCTGGTGCCTGGCATTCCACCAGGTACCACCCAGGGCGAGACTGGGCCTTCAGCTTCTGTGTGGTTTTATTGAGGACAGAATTATTGCAAGACTCAATTATTGTAGAAGCTCTGTGTAGTCTGAGATTTTCAGCAATTGTAGGACTCTCAGTGGGGTAGTTTTCAGAGCCCAAGATCAACTCCACAAGAAACAGAGTGATTTAGACCCTCTATATGTGACTGGGGAGGGGTAGAGGGCCATCCCACCCCCAACTCCCATCACGCTTCCTTTGTATCGGCATGAACCCACAGAACATACATTGTGCTTAGGAGACCTCGACAGCCCAGGGAACAGGCAGGCAACCAAGACCCGCCCTGCCTTCAGGAAGCTGCCACCAAATTCCTTTGAATCAGTTTCAGTTTTAATGTTTTCCCTTGTGCTAAGCGGTGGGCACAGCTGGTACAGTGACTGCCTTGGAAGAATGAAGACGCAATTTCAGGCCCTCCCCCATGCAACACGAGTGTGTGCTGTTACGCCCTTATAATCCAAGGACTGTGGAGGCAGAGACAGGCGGATCTCTGGAGCTCACTGACTAGCAGGTCTTGCACAGGGTGAGCTCCAGATTCAGTGAGAGACCCTGTCTCACACTATCAAGTGATAGAAGATACCATAACGTATGACCTTCACATGCATATACAGTGCATGTACTTACATGTACACCAACCACCCCCACCCCAACACCTTTCCTTTACCCTACCCTTAGGAGATACTGCAGAAGCTGGGTGGTGGTAGATCACGCCTGTAATTAACCACAGATCTCAGGAGGCAGAAGCAGGTGGATCTCTTCAAGTTTGAGGCCAGCCTGATATAAGAGAGGGAGAGAGAGAGAGAGAGAGAGAGAGAGAGATTGAATAGATGATAGTCTACCATAAAAAATGAACTGCACTTTTTTTTTTTTCTTTTGGGTTTTGGTAAAGTTAGATTATCTATTGCCTATGTTTTTGTGAGTGTAGTTAATTTCCTTAGGTTGGAATTTTCCTTCCAGTACTTTCTGTAGGGCTGGATTAGTGGTTACATATTGTTTAAATCTGGTTTTGTCGTGGAATACCATTTATAGTGATTGAAAGCTTTGCTGGGTATAGTAGTCTGGCTGGCATCTGTATTCTCTCAGAGTTGATATAATATCTGTCCAGGTCCTTCTGTCTTTCAGAGTTTCCATGGAGAAGTCAGGTGTAATTCTGATAGGTCTGCATTTATGTTACTTTGCCTTTTTCCTTTGCTGCTCTTATTATTCTTTCTTTTTTTTCTGTACATTTGGTATTTTAATTATTATGTGACAAGGGGACTTTCTTTTGTGGTCCACTCTATGGTTATCTAGTGGCAAGCTTTGGTGTTCTGTAGGCTTCTTGTACTTTCATTGGCATGTCTTTCTTTAGAAAAAGAAAAAAAAAAAAAGAACCGCACCTAATTTTACAAGCTCTGGGTTTTCCTGGATATGTCTTTAAATTTGTAGGGCCTTCTTCCCACACCCAAGTCCCAAACAGACAGCAACTCTTGTCATATCTTGACAACCAAATGAAGCACTGGAAGAGAAAAAAGGGTATAGTAAATCATCCCAGCTGGCAGATCATCACTGCATAGTTCTCAGAGTGGTTGTTTGTCAACAGTGAAGTCTGGACCATCTCCTGGCACTGAGTCAAAAGGGTCCACTCGTGACAGTGACGGGGGACCAGTGCTCCCTCCTCATACGATTTGTGACATCACTGCTCACCTTGGAATGAATTTGCTGATGTTCTTGATACCTGGGTGTTTTTATTACTTGTGTTCTAACCAAAGATTTCTTGAGAATATTCTAGAAGCAATCTTTCTAGTAGTCATCAGTCATCCTGATTGAAATTACATGGTAGAACAGGAAAAATTACAGGTGTCTACCCAAGGTGGAGGGATTGGGGTCAACTTCACAGGCTTCATTTTTGAATTAATTGTTGAGTTTGAATATCTGAGAACTGGACAGGGATTAGATGAATCTTGGTTTATCTAGGATGAAATGTTATGCTGCCATTTGCTTTGGGAGACTATTCATAATCCATTGCTAACCAAAACTATAGGTTAGCAGGATTAAAATACTCAGCATCTAATACGATGATTTTTAGAAAAATAATTAGGTGTTTGTCAGCATCACACAGGAGACCAGAAGTTGTCTGGAGAAATGGTTAAGAGCCCTTGCTACTTGTGTGGAATAACTGATTCCTAGAACCCACCAGGGTAGCACAGGGACCTGTAACTCCAGCTCCAGGGGATCTGACGTCCTCTTCTGGCCTCTGTAGGCTATGCACACATGAGCCTCAGCTGCTGCCTCAGGTTCCTGCCCTGTGTGAGTTCCTGTCCTGACTGCCCTCAATGAACAGTGCTGTGGAAGTGAAAACTTAACAAACCCTTCCCTCACCAAGGTGCTTTGGTCATGGGGTCTGTCACAGCAGTAGTGACCCTAGGACAAGTGCCTTTCAGCCCCAGGACTAGGTGTGTGCAGCTGGGCCCTGCTTTACAGGTATGTGTGTGTGTGTGCGCGCGCGCGCGCGTGCGCGCAGCTGGGGATTTGAACTCAGGACCTAATGCTTGCACAGCAAGCACTCTATCCACTGAGCTGTGTTCTCAGCCCTGGAATTCCCCAGTTTAAACACACACCTCTCATGGTTCTGGCAAACACCATTGCCGGGTTCTCCGGCAGGTAGAGCTGCCTTGGGGCTGAGCGGGATGGTGAGTGTCAGCTACCCAGCCCCTCCCCCCCCCCCCCCCCCCCCCCCGCACCCCCCACAACAGGCCCACACACACGCGGGGCGCGGGGGG